GGGGGATGGGGTGGAGCCCTAGGGGGAAGGGAAGAGGGAACCAAAGAGGAAGTGGGGGGAGGGAGGTAGAGGAGGCAAGTCTGGCGCCATGCTGAGTCACCGCCCACAAGGCCCAGGGCGGGCCCTCTGGGGGCCACGGGGCAGGGTGTTGGGGTCTTGGGAAGCCATGAGGAGGGCTGGGGGGCTCTTGAAACAGGAGTCAGGAGGAGGAGCGGGCGGCCTGAAGAGTACCTGCAGACGGACAGACAGACAGTGCAGTCACCCATAAAGTAGAAAGCACTACTAACAGCACTGGAGGGTGTAGTGTTTCCTACTTTATGGATGAGTGTACTGTGGGCTTCGGAGACCACGCCGCTGCCGCCCGCCACCGTCTTCCTCCACGCTCAGGACCGTGCGTGACAGGTGAGCCCCTCAGGCATCCTCCCCACCCTGCTCAGACCCCTGAAAGGCCCTCACTGCCCACCACGGTGCTGTCCCTCCTGGTTCCGGCCAACCGGGGAAATGCCACATCAGCTCCTCTGCTGCCTCGAGGTCTGGGAGGGCTGGACATCTGGACCTGATGCAGCTGCGGAGAGGCCCCGGCATGGGGGCCCAGACGCCAGTGGACAGATGCCAGGACAAAGAAGAGGAGGGAAAGGAGGGTAGATGGAAGGGAATGGGGTGCCAGGGACTCCAACACTAATAAAGAATGGACTCTGCTTCTCTTTTGTCTGAGACTCTGTTGCTGGGATTGGGGGGCTGAATGGGCTTAGCAGGCACATGGATGGGATGGGTGCACAGAGGGGCCGGGAGGGAGAATCACTCTCACTCTCTTGAGATATATGGGTTTGACCCTGCCTGTGAGACCAGAAGAGGGCTCTGGGCCTGGCCGGGCCGCAGCTGCCAAGGAACAATGCCTGGGGGTGAGGACCTCCCTGCAAACCGAGGAAAGGGGGCAGGAGATGGAGGGGCAGGGTTGTGAGGGGCCCTTCCACCTTTAACCTAGCTCTGGCTCTGCCCTCTACTTGCTTTCCACACCCCTAAACTGAAGGCTGCCTACCTCCAGTTCTTTTTTTTTTTTTTTTTTTGGTGAGGAAGACTGGCCCTGGGCTAACATCTGTTGCCTATCCTCCTCTTTTTTCTTGAGCAAGATTGTCCTTGCGCTAATACCAATGTCAATCTTCCTCCATTTTGTATGTGGTATGCCACCACAGCATGGCTTGATGAGTGGTGTGTAGGTCTGCGCCCAGGATCTGAACTCGTGAACCCCAGGCCACTGAAGTGGAGGGTGTGAACCCAACCGCTATGCCACCGGGCCGGCCCCTACCTCCAGTTCTAATCTAAGAAAGTCTAGAGGGTTGTTGGTAATATAAGAATTGGACACACACACACACTGTGGCCCCAACACAAAGCATCTTTTACATAGACAAGGGCACAGATGCTGCTATACAAAGCACACACACCAGCATGCGTGTGCATTTACATCCAGGGGCCCTGTACATGTATGCTATCAACACACGTGTATGGTGACATACACATGTGACATGGCTGGCATGTCACACAATGACACACAGGGATATACACACACTCAGGACACATACATATTCAATAGTACACACACATACAATGATATAAACACATATGATGTGTGTCACATGTAGAAGAATACAAATACACACATAGTGACATTCACAATAAACACATTGGTTCCATACACATACAAATACAGTGACACATTCATACCTGATGATAAATATACAATAGGTATATAGTGATATCTATATATCTAGATACATAGATATAAATAAAACCATGTCATTGTACGGCATTACACATATTTACATGACTGTATGATAGTGCATCATTACATATTGCGTAATGCCATATAATGGCATCCATATACATATTGTGTCATACATTTTGTAATTTATACACACACAATCGTAGCTCACACATACATAACAGCACACAGACACTATGGCAAGTAGGCATCTATGCAATGGCACACACATAGAAACGTGCATACGTATATACCAGCGAGACTTATAGACTCATAATAGCACACACACATACATACATATATAGATATGTATGTGTGTACGTATGTAAAATAATATAACTGCCCCACACACATATACAGAGATAACTATGCAGTCATGCACCGCACAATGATGTTTCAGTCAACGACAGACCACATATATGACAGTGGCCCCATAAGATTATTACCATATAGCTTAGATGTGTAGTAGGCTATACCATCCAGGTTTGTGTAAGTACACTCTGTGATGTTTGCACAATGACAAAATCGCCTAACAATGCATTTCTCAGAACATGTCCTCATCGTTAAATGACCCTACACACCTAGGCTATATGGCATAGCCTATTGCTCCTAAGCGACAAACTTGTACAGCATGTTACTGTACTGAATACTGCAGGCAACTGTAACACAATGGTAAATATTTGTGTATCTAAACATAGAAAAGATATAGTAAAAATATGGTATAAAAGATCAAAATGATACACCTGTATAGGGCACTTACCCTGAGTAGAGCTTGCATGACTGGAAGTTGCTCTGGGTAAGTCAGAGAGTGAGTGGTGAGTGAATGTGAAGGCCCTGGACACTACCGTACACTATACAAACATTGTACACTTAGGCTACACTAAATTTATAAAAAATATTTTTCTTTCTTCAATAAATTAAACTTAGCTTACTGTAACTTTTTTATTTTATAAACTTTTTAATTTTTTTTAACTTTTTGACTTTTAATAATACTGAGCTTAAAACACAAACATATTGTACAGCTGTACAAAAATATTTTCTTTCTTTATATCATTCTATAAGCTTTTTTCTATTTAAAAAGATTTTCATTTATTTTTTCTTTTTAAACTTTTTTGTTAAAAACTAAGAGACAAACACACACATCAGCCTACGCCACACAGGGTCAGGATCATCGACATCACTGTCTTCCACCTCCGAGTCTTGTCCCACTGGAAGGTCTTCAGAGGCAATAACACACTTGGAGTTGTCATCTCCTATGATAACAACGCCTTCTTCTGGAATACTCCATGAAGGACTTGCCTGAGGCTTTTCTTAAGGAGGTGTTACTCTTTTCAGAAATATGTCCATGGTGGTTTGCTTCTTTTTTCCATCATAGATTTGCTTGTAAGCAGATAATGCATCATGAACATTCCTCTCTACTAATGACAACCTATGACGTTACAATGGCTATGATGTCACTAGGCGATAGGAATTTTTCAGCTCCATTACAATCTTATGGGACCACCGTTGTATATGCGGTCCATCGTTGACTGAAAGGTCCTTACGCGGCACGTGACTCTATGTGCATACTACACATATGCATGCACATAATGGCATGCCTGTATACCCTGACATAAATATCAGTGACACACATCATGTAGTGGTGCCTATATTAATCCACATACTGCTTTAGGGAAGTGAAGATGTCACCTCCACCCCGTGCATCAACTCTGGCCTGGGTGGAGCCCATGGTCAAGGGCTCTGTGGTTTAGTGCTGCTGCTGCTATTCCTCAGGGGTGCCACACGAGGGCCCCTGACCTCGGCCGAGACTGGCTTCTGTGCAGATGGACTGAGTCCCGGGTTCAGAGGGGACAGGGGCCGCCTCCCTGAGGCATCTCCCAATACCCCTGTCTTTGAGGACTCTATCTAAGCCCCTGCCCCCACAAAGAGGCTGACTTGTGGGTGGGGGAGTTTCCACGTCCTTGTCCCAAAAAGCCATTTCCTCATAGCAAAAATGCCTAAGGCTAGAGAGAAGATGAACTTCCTGCGAGCTTGGGGCATAAGCCTGCCCAACAGGCCATGTGGTCTCCCCTGCTGGCCCTAGATGGCCCGGTTGCCCCCAGAATGCAGTCTACCAGGAGGAAGCTGAAACAATTCTCTCAGCCTGTTTCCACCTGTCTTTTTGCTTCTGCCTTCCTGTTTTCATTTTCTTGATTTCTGTCTTTGTTTCACCTCTAATCCCATCTTGTCTGTTCCTGCTCTGCTCCATGGCTGGATCTCTGTCTATCTGTCATACTACCCCATCTCTGTCTCTACCAGACTTGGGTTGGGGCCGATGTGGGGAGGACTGTCTGCAGCCCCCTTGCCTCTGTACCCTGGAAAGTGTGGGGGTGTTTGGGGACAAGGGGTGGGAGGCTACATGTTGGGGGCACCGGGCCAGCATCCCGTGAGGAACCTGCTCTTCTCTCTGTCCCAACCCTGCCTGCTGGTCCAGCCCACCAGTCCAGCGCCGTCACCATGGAAACCAGCAGCTGACTTCCTATTGGTGGGCGGGAGGGGAGGGGGAAGAGCAGGGGAGGGTTAGCTCTCCCCTGCTCGCCCCCCCTCTTCTGAGGCTCAGCCCTCCCCCGCACCCACCATCTCGGACTCCGGGACTGTAGGGGACCCCTGCGCTCCCCAGAGCTGAAGCCAGCAGGGACAGAGACTATGAGGCAAGCAGCCCACCGACCCAGGCCTCCTTAGGACCAGCCCGGCCGCCCAGCAAGCTAGTGAGCAGCAGCAGAAAGAACAGGAGATAAAGGACCACAGCGGACCATTGGGGATCACCCCCAGCAGCTCCTGCGGACCCTAGCCAGGCTGAGGGGTTGTGATGGATGGCCAGACTCACAGACGCTGACGGACAAACAATGACACCAATGCTCGCAGCTGCACAACAGTGAGACGCTCAGATACAACCAGTGACAGCATCACACACTGCCACAGCCCTGCAATACAGACACCCACACACACACAGAAACAACTGGTAACTCCGAAACAGGCACAGACAGTGACACACAGAACCACTACCCACCAACACACATGAGAGGGGGCACCCATCCTCCAAACACACACGAGACAGCGCTGACCTGCACAGACCGACCCGGAGACGCGCAGACCCTCACCCAGGCACTGCTGTGGGTGGCCTCTGCACATCCTCCCTGCCCCCACGGGGACACCCTCGCTCCTCCACACACTCACACACACACACAGCCACGAGCAAACATAGCTCGCATACCCCCAGCTCCAGCTCTGGCAGCCCCGACTCCTGCAGCTTCCTTTGTGGGTGAGAAAGAACTCGGTCAACCTTGGATGGAGACTCGGTGAAGCCAAGAGCTCAGAGAGGAAAGGGTCTGGCCTGGCATGACCCTCATCAGTCCCTCCGCTTGGTTGGGTGATGTCCCCGGGCCGGGGTCCTGGGGCCGCTCGGCAGTACCATGGAGCAACTGACACCCCTCGCACGGCCAAGGGACCCTGCAGCCATGGAGCCATGGGCACTGCCCGCCTGGCAGACCTGGACTCCAGGCCAGGGGGGCGAACCTGGAGGCGCAGCCCCAAGCATTGCCGATACTCCGGCAGCTCTGCAGCTTGGAGAACTGGGGCCTGAGGAGAGCTCTGAGCCCGAGGGAGCCCGGACCCCCCCACCTGCGGGGGGCATTGACCCCGAAGGAACAGAAACTGAGCTGCCCAGCCTAGGGCAGCAAGTAGCAAGCTCTGGACCTCGCTGCCCGAGGGTGGAGGATGAGGAGGTGGAGGCTTTCCCTGAGGTAAGGGAGCTGTGGAGGGCTGGGGTCTGCAAGGTGGGGGGCCTCTCATCATGCCCTCCAGTGGGCATGACATGCAACCGTACTGCCCAACTCTCCTCTCCTGGCCTGTCTCTGTCTGTGGTCTGTCTCTGTGACTGTCCGTCCTCCCTTCCTTGGGCAGGAATCTCAGTGGCTCCATTTTTTGCCGTCTGTCTGTCCTTCTGACTCTCTGCCTGTCTGTCTACATCTGGCCCTGCCCCTACCCCCTCCCTCTGTGAGTCTCTCTCTGACAGTCTGTCTGTCTGTGTCTCCTCCTCCGTAAGTCTCTGTCCTTGGGGGCTGGAGGATACCAGGTGTGTGTGGAGGTGTATGGTGGAATCAGAGTCCAGAGGAAGCAGATTCAGGGGAGGGGGCTCAGTGCTGGGCTGAGCCTAGGGAGGACAAGGTTTGGGGTGGGTGTGAGCAGTCTCCTGCAGAAGATGGAGGGACCATGACTTTGGGGGAGGGAAGGGGACTCAGGGGCCATGAGGAGGGGTGAGGATGGGAGCTTGAGCTGGCATTTCCCCGGAGGAGAAGATGGGCAGGGATGGGAAGAATCAGGAGCCAGCAGAGAGGAGTCCAAGGTTGGGGGATGCCAGTGCGGGCAGGGAGGACTAAACAGTCCCTTCTCCAGGCCTCCTGTGCTCCCCTCTGAAGGCCTGGGATGTGGAGGAGAACCTTCTCATCTCCATGTCTCCTTGGACCGTGGAGGGGGGAATGCTTCCATATGGAGGGCTCTGACTAGGTAGGGTGGGTTCTTGAGTGCTGTGCCCTGTCCTTTCCCATGCCAGGGCAAGCTGAACATGGGCTTTGGGGACAGGCCCAATCTGGAGCTGCTGAGGGCCCTGGGGGAGCTGCAGCAGCGCTGTGCCATCCTTAAGGAGGAAAACCAGATGCTGGTGAGGCTTGGAAAACGAGTCCTGGGTCCTGGTTGGACTGGGGGAAGGCAGACTCAGACACCCTGGCCCTCTGCCTCAGCATCCTCCTCATCCCATGAATATCCCTCCAAGTGGGGATTGCATGGAAGTGACATGATCCCAAGACCCAGAGAGGATGAACCCCTACCTAGAGTTGTGAGGACCCCATTGTGAGGGGGGGCCCAAGGCCTGGGCAGTTAGAATTGGGTCTGTGGGGTGCTCCCCACATACCCCAATTCTGACTGACCCCTTGTCAGAGGAAGAGCAGCTTCCCTGAGACGGAGGAGAAGGTGCGGAGGCTGAAGCGGAAGAACGCCGAGCTGGCGGTCATTGCCAAGCGCCTGGAGGAGAGGGCCCGAAAGCTGCAGGAGACTAACCTGAGGGTGGTGAGGATGGGAGGCTGCAGGACGGAGGCTGGGGGCCCAGAGAAGTGGGGAGCTGGGGCTGGGCCTAAGGGAGTGGGGCTTGGGAGTCACAGCCTGTTAGCACCCAGAAAAGCAGGAACCCAGGGGCCGAGGTGTAGGAAGGGCAAACGCTGGCCAGGCCAGGAGGCTGAGGGTTTCTGGAACTACAGGAGGGAGGGAATGGCTGGGCAGGGAGTTCCTGAGCAGGCAGGGAGCAGGATTCTGGATTGCCATGTGCTGGTGCTGGCTGCAGCCGCCTGCTGAGCTCATCTCTGGGTGCAGAGCTGGTGGGGTCAGGGATGAAGACCCATCACACTGGCAGCCCTGAATTAGCGGCATCCTTTGGGCCTAAACTAGGATGTGGAGTTAACTCTTTCAGTCCTGCTTGAGGATTGCTGGGATGGGGTCAAGTGAGGCTGTTGGTACCCTGAGGCCCCAGACACAGGGTAGAAGCAGGAGGCCACACTTCTAGGTTTTCATCCTAACCCTTCCTTTTGGGAAGAGCTGAGGAGTGGGAGAAGTGCCCCAGCCCTCAGATGATGGTTGGCCTTACTCCTCTGGCCAGGTGAGTGCCCCCATGCCCCGTCCCGGGGCCAGCTTGGAGTTGTGCCGGAAGGCACTGGCCCGCCAGCGAGCCCAGGACCTCAGTGAGACAGCCCGCGTCCTGCTGGCCAAGGACAAGCAGATCGCTGCTTTGCAGCGGGAGTGCAGGGAGCTGCAGGCCAGGCTCACCCTGGTCGGCAAGGTGCGAGGAGGCCCTGGTCACCCTTTCCAGTTCAGCCCTACACAGGGCCGAGCACCTGGCTTGTGGGATGTGGACGAGATGTTAATGAGATGCAAATGAAGCGGGAAGGTGGAAGCTGCTGGGGAGTAGGTTCCCCTGGCAACGGCCCAGGTGGAAGCAGGGAGAAGGAGCCTGAACTGAAGAGGGTGGAGCCATGAGTCCCAGGCCTGGGAATTTCTGTGCTCCAAGCTTCAGGCTGTATACCAGTGAGTCTGGCTGTAGGAATCCACAAATACCTCACACTCGTGTGAAGAGATGTTCTCCAGGCATTTAGCACAGTGGTGGGCACACCACAAGTGCCCAGTAAATGAGTTTCTGTGAATGTATGCACACGGGCTAGCGGAAGCATGCGGCTGTATACGCACGCACCTATGACCAGGCATGTATGCATGGGAGAATGTGCACGTTCCCGCGCATCGGAGTCCCTCCAGCAAGGCGGAGGGCGGGCTCTGCTGGGGATGGCGTGGGGCGGGCAGGGGTTAGGCCTGACTCCTCTCCCCGTCCCCCCACCCCAGGAGGGCCCCCAGTGGCTCCACGTGCGGGACTTCGACCGGCTGCTGCGCGAGTCCCAGCGGGAGGTGCTGCGGCTCCAGAGGCAGATCGCTCTGCGCAACCAGCAGGAGCCGCCCCCGCCACCCCGGCCCCCGGGCCCCGCTGTCCGGCCCAGAGCAGGGGCGCCCGCCCCCGGGGCCCCGGGAGAGGTGAGCGCCGGCGCAAGGGCAGGTGTGTGGGTGTGTGTAGATGGGGGATGGGGGCGGCTCCGGGATCTCTCCTTTCGACGCACTCAGAGCCCCGACGACCCGGTGGTGGTGTGCGCTCCAAGGGCTGGGGAGTTTTCCAGACCCCGGGGGCAAGGTCCCCCGCCCAGCCTCCCCGCGGTGGTACCTGCGCCGCGCCCGCCCCCAGGGCTTCGAGGTCCGCCCTCTGCAGGCCTGCGCCCCGCGGGGTCCGCCCCGCCGCCCCTGCCGCGCCGCCAGTGGTACGGCCCGGCCGCAAATCCCTGGTTGCCCTGGCAGCCGCCTGGGGCCCAGCTCGCACCGCCGCCTCCCGCTGCCGCCGTAGCACGGGGACGCCCTCTTCGGCGCCCGCCTGGTGGGCCAGGCCCGGCCCTGGCTCCCGGGGGGAGGCGGTGCGTCTGCGCCGGCTCCAGGTATGGGCGACCCTCACTGGGCGCCGGGCTTAGGCAGCCGCTGTCGTGAGGGTTAGAGACCCCGCCCCGGAACCCCCGAACTTAGGGGTCTGGCTCATTTCCGTCCTCTCTACTTGGGCAGCAGCTAGGTCCACCTCTTTCTGGGCAGAGGGGTGGGTGAAAGGACTGCGTAGCGACCAAGGCCTCAGGGTGTGGGGTGCTTCTTGCTCAGATTTTGCGCCTCTGCCTGGCCCAGGGAGGGAGATGCACCGCCCATCAAGACCTGTCCTCCCCCAGAGTTCGCACAGATAAATGGGCAGTGCAACAGGATGGGCTTGAGGGGAAGCCGGGAGGAGGGTCTGGCCAAGTCTGTACTGCTCTAGGCCAAGCCCAGATTTGGTTGATTGGTAACGCCTGGCTCTGGGAACACTACCTCCCTGGGGGCCCAGGCAGCCTCCTAGTTCTCTGCCAGTCACTGAAGGAGACCCAGGACAATTATTGAGTGCAGAGCAGGGCTGCTGCTGGAAGCTAAAAAGGGAAAGCTTTGGCCTGGATAAGGGACCCATCTCCCAGGGCACACGTGGGTCTCAGGATCTGAAAGCACGATGTCTGGAGGACACGGGTACAGCCGCTGCACTTCTACATCAGCTGGAGATGATGGGAGGGGGTGGGCAGACAGCACCCCCCTTCCTGGGCAGGGATCTCTTTGCTGACTGTGAGATGGAGTGGGAACCTCCCACCGACTGGCTGGGCTGGGGGCAGGCTGTCCTGGGGCCCTGTTCTCAGGTGCCAGCCCCCTGTCCCTGGGCATTTCCAGGCCACGCTCCAGGAGGATGTGGAAAACCCACCCGTGGTCCTAGGGGAGCCAGAGAAACAGCAGAGGGTGCAGCAGCTGGTAAGTCTCAGGTCAAGGGCTGGAGGAGACCTGTTGTGGACAGATCTGTCTTTCCACATGAGGGGCCCTCGATTCTGACCCCACAGGAGTCAGAGCTCAGCAAGAAGCGGAAGAAATGCGAGAGCCTGGAGCAGGAAGCCCGGAAAAAGCAGAGGCGATGTGAGGAGCTGGTGAGCTCTAGAGGGCCTCCCCGGGGCCTCCCGGAGGCCAGCTCCTGCTTTCCGCAGGCCAGCCAGGTGGTGGGCTCCCTCTCAGCTCTGCTTTCATCCCTCCTGCCCTTGAGAACACACATTCCCTCCTGTTCTGTAGGGCTCTCCTTTCCTGGCTGATGCAGCTTCCAAGTGGGGGAGGAAGGCCTTATCTGGGAGGACAGGATCCTCTGTGTGGGGAGGGGCAGAATGTGGGTGCTGGGCCCCCTCCCCAGAGCTCCTCTGGTCTCTCAGGAACTGCAGCTGAGAGAAGCCCAGAGTGAGAATGCCCGCCTCGTGGAGGAGAACTCTCGGCTCAGTGGGAGAGCCACGGAGAAGGAGCAGGTAGCACCTCTGCACAGGTGCTGTGGGGCCTGGGCTCCTGCGAGGGCCCTGGTCCCCGGGCAAGGGGCTGTCTCCTCCACCCCTCACTGGGCTAGGGTATGAAGGGTACTGTTCTCCCTGGGGAGGGAGCTGGTGGCACAAGGCTCACACAGCCAGCTTGCCCAGCTCCCTGTCACTCTCCGTCTCCAGGTGGAGTGGGAGAATGCGGAGCTGAGGGGCCAGCTCCTGGGGGTGACACAGGAGAGGGACTCGGCCCTTCGCAAGAGCCAGGGCCTGCAGAGCAAGCTGGAGAGCCTGGAGCAGGTGCTGAAGGTAAGGGACTGTGTGGGGAGGTGTTGGTCCCTGGCTCAGGGAGAGAGTGGGACAGTGGAACATGGCCTTTGTGGGGCACCGGGGTCTAAGGCACAGTCCTGGTGCCGGTGGCCCCTTGCCTTCTCTGGCCACGGTTTCCCTTTTGATAGAGGGCATCTGGAACGTATAGTGTCTGCGGCCCCGATGTCTTGGAGCTTCTAGAGAAGCAGTGGAGTGGGCTCTGGCCTTGACCCTGGGTCTTGTGTTTCAGCACATGCGCGAGGTGGCCCAGCGGCGGCAGCAGCTGGAGGTGGAGCATGAGCAGGCTCGGCTCAGCCTGCAGGAGAAGCAGGAGGAGGTCCGGAGGCTGCAGCAGGTGAGGGCAGGGTCTCCAGGGGGCAGCAGTGAGGGAAGGGGGGTAGGCTGCTGGACCCCGGCCTAGTCATCCGCTCATCCAACGAGCATTTACTGAGCACCCACTGCATGCCAGCCACTGTGCCAGGCACCAGGGGATAGTGGTGGGCAAAGAGATCCATGAGTGAGGTGATCCCAGTCACTGATAAGCGCAAGGGGGGAAGTGAACCGGGTGATGTGACACAGAGTGACTGGCATGGGGTGAGGTGCCACTTTAGAGAGGGCAGGGAAGGCCTCTAATCCCTCAGGGGCGAGAAGGAGCCAGCTAAAGAGCACTCCAGGTAGAGGGATAGAAGTGCAAATGCCCTGTGGCAGGAAAGAGCAATGTGGGGATGGACAGAACAACAGGAGTAGGTGAGAGCCAGATGGCTCCAGGCCCTAAAGGCTGTGGAAAGAGTTTGGATATTTTGCTCTCTGAGCAGATAGAAGCTGCTGCAAGGTCCCAAGCAGAGGAGTAGCATGATCTGAGGGGTCATTTTAGCAGATCACATTGGCAGCGCCGTGGGGGATGGGTTGGGGGAGTGGGCATGGAAGCAGGGCGATCAGGTGTTGGAGCTGTGGCAGGGCTCCAGGTGGGAGATGATGGCCATCTGGACCAGGGAGCAGGCAATGCAGGGGGAAACAGGTGGATGTATTTGAAATATATTTTGGAGATAGAATCAACAAGACTCACTATGGGATTCCAGTTGAGGCCCAGCTCTGTCACCCATTTGCTGTGACACCCTGATGGAGGGTGGGGCTTTTCACTCCCCAGGAGGTAAGGGATGAAGGGGCAGCTGATTTGAGAGGTAAGGAATCCTGAGTTCTGAGTTCTGTTTTGGCCACATTTGGGTTGTGTGTGAAACGTGCAGGTGGAGATGTGCATAGACTGTTGGATGTATGAGTCTGCAGTCTTGGGGAAGTAGGTCTTGGAGGTGTATTCTGGAGTCATCAATGTGTCTAGTCATGTGACTAGGTGGGACCCTTGGGAGAGAGTGTAGGGTATAAAGTGGGCCCAGCACTGTGCCCTCTAGCACCCTAACATTCTAAAGGGGTAGAAGACGGAGCAGGCAGAAGAGGCTGAGAAGGAGCATCTGGAGAGGTAGGAGGGAAACCTGAGGGTGAGTGTCCCACAGAGGGAGAAGCAGTACCAGGCTCACCTCTCCTTGACCCCATTGCCTTCTAGCCTGAGGTGTGGTTCAGTATGGGAGTTCCGGAGGGAGGAACCCTCAGCTTCCCCCTTCCCAGCACCCCTGCCCTCCTCTTCTCCTCTCCTCTCCCTTCCCCCTCTTTCTTCTCTCCCTTCGCCCTTCCTACCCTCCCTCCCTTTCATCTCCTAGCCCACGCCCAGTCCTCATCCTTCTCCTCCAGCATTTTGCCTCCTCTCACCTGTAGGCCCAGGCAGCAGCTAAGAGGGAACATGAAGGAGCTGTGCAGCTGCTGGAGGTAGGGTCCCCGGGGGTGGCCACCAGCTCCACCAGCTCATGGGGGCAGGCAGGGGAAGTTCAGAGGGAGCTGGAATGGACTGTGTCGGTGTGGGTGTCAGCGGTGTGGGGTTGCACGAAGGGCCCTTAAATGCTCCAGGGCCTGGGGGAATCCCCTCCACCATTGGCCTATTTCTCAGGCTAGGGCACAGCCGGGCAGGGGCTCCTGAGTCTGGCAGCAGCAGTGTCCTGTTGCCACCCCCCCGAGGCTGCCTTCACCCTGAAATATCCTTCATTTAGGAACTGCTCAGTCAGTCCAGTGAGCTGACCAGGTGGGCCCCTCTCTCTTTCCCTCCCTCTCTGGCTAGTGACCCACAGGGTAAGGGTTCTAACCTCTCTTCTGTGCTTTCCTTTCCCGCCACAGTCCACCCTGGATTCCATGCAGGTATGGCCTCCCGATCCCCCATCTCCTGGGGTGTCGTCTCCCCTACACCTCTCCAGGCTGGCCGAGCTATATCTCTTCCCTTGGGTCCAAGTGGTCCCAACCCTCGTGTCCACCAGAGGAGGGTGTGACTGGTAGCAGCCCCAAGAATCTGTAGATGGGCTGGGATTCCCACAGTACGTGTGGGCATCCCCTCATCTCAGACCTGCCACTGTGCCTGGCAGACATGGGGGCTTCCCTCCTCTAAAACCTTGCCATTCAGACCATGAGGAAGTTGGTCGCCAGTCTAACCCATGATCTGTTGGCCGGGGAGAGTCCCTAATATTGGGACTCTCCTGATACCTGAGGAAAATTCTTGGGAATTGACCTGTTCCTGTCACAATGATGTCCCTAGCTCCTGTGTGAGATCCCTCTGGGGACCTCTCTGAGGGCAGAGATTTGGGTCACTGACTGTAGGGGGGTGACAAGCAGTGGAGCTGAGAAAACTCCTGAGGTGATACTGGTGGTGGTGATGGGGGTGGGAGTGATCTGTTTTGGCCTAGAAAGCGGCCAGAAGCAGAAGTGCCACTGCCTGGGGCATGAGGGTGTGCTGGGTGTGTGGCCAGTCGGCCCTTGTCTGGAGGTGGGTAGGGAGTGATGGTGTCCCGCCGTCCCCGGACACCACCCTCAGCTCAGACCCTATTAGGGGCAATGGGGCAGCCAGGCTGAGGGTTGGTGCCCAGGCCCAGGGGCTGGGCGGATGTGATCTGAAGTCGGTGTGGGGCTGTGTGGAGATGGCACAGGCTGAACTGGGCAGCTGTGCTGGCCTGGTGGCTCATGGTGGGTCTTGGCTCAGGTCCGGGTTCGAGAGCTCGAGGAGCAATGCCGCAGCCAAACCGAGCGCTTCAGCCTCCTGGCGCATGAGCTCCAGGCCTTCTGCTTGCACCCTGGCCCCTTGGATCTGCTCACCTCTGCCCTGGGCTACAGTTCCCTTGGGGACCGCCCGCCACCCCCCTGTTGCTGCTCTACCCCCCAGCCCTGGAGGGGGTCCGGCCCCAAAGGTGAGGTGGACCCCACTGACATTAGCCTGGAATCCTCAGACCTGGGCCTTTTGTATAGGACAGAGAGGTTAGGGTCAGAGGAAGCTAGCAACTCACCCAAAGCTACACAGCAAATTAGAGCCAGGCCTGGCTAGAGCTAGGCTCTGATGGGGAAAACATGAGCCGACAGGAGTGTCTGTCCCAGAGTCTGGCCCGGGCATCTCAGGCCACTGCTCCTCCTGCTCCAACTCTGTGGTCATGGTTGGGAATTGGGCCCTAGGAGTCAGTAGCATGCATTATGGGCTGGTGAAGAGTCAGGGCCGGGGGTCAGTCAGATCTGGTGGTCCCAGCTCTACTCACTGAACAGTGCCTGTGATTTTGAGCATGCTGCCTCACCTCTGTGGGCCGTGATCTCCTAATCTGTAAGACAGGGATAATTCAGTGCACCTCATCAAGCTGCTGTGCTTCACAGAGGGTCCTGTGAAATAGTATATGTAAATCACCTCTACCTCCACTTAGTAAGTTTCCCCCAAGTATTTTCCTTCTTGTGGAGGGCCTGACTCCCATATCCAAGAGACTCCACCCTTGGTCCCTGGTCCTTCCTAAGGCTATAGACTCCAAGCCCCCGTGCCGTCTTCTCTTTAGACCTTGACCTCCCACCGGGCTCTCCAGGGCACTGCAGCCAAAAGTCTTCCGAGCCTGCCCCTGCCACCCCTGCTGGGGCCCCACGAAGGACGGCCAAGAAAGCAGAGTCTCTCTCCAACTCCTCTCGCTCCGAGTCCATCCACAACAGCCCCAAGTCATGCCCTACTCCCGAGGTCAGTGTGGGGGAGGGGCTGGGTCTCTCTCGGCCTTGGGTAACGGGAGAGGGGAGGGGGCCCTGACCTCTTCTGGGGTTCCCAGGGGTTGGGGGGCCGCTGGCCCCTGTGGGGAGGCGGAGCCAGGCCCTGGGAGAGAAGGGCCTATGGATTCCTCCTTGTGGGCAGGGAGCTTGGGTGGAGCCCGTCCTGCTCTCCAGGGCCTCCTGCAGGCCCTTTCTTGGGGCTGCCCGGCCCCACCCCTCTGGGCCCAGAGAAGCCCTACAGTTCTGGGCTGGATGGAGGGAGACACTTTGGCGCCAGGATCCACGTAATGAGACTGTTCATGAGAGCCTCTGTCGCAGAGGCAGAAGGTTGTGCGAGAAAGAGCCCAGGTTCCGGGATTCAAGTCCCAGCTTTGTCTTAGGCAAGTCACAGACCCTTTCTGGGCTTCGGTTTCCCTGTCTGAGTTTTGGAGCAAATAAAACCTGCCTTGTTAGGTTGTTGTGAGGGTTACTTGAAAAAATATAAGGAAAGTGCCTTACTCAGTGTGGAGGACACAGCAGATGCTTAACGTATGGCAGCTGTTATTATTACCAAGTTCTTGGGCATTACTCACAACTCTCCTGAGCGCCTCGTCCCTGTCTCTACCTCCCAGACCCCAGAAAGTGGAGAGGGGAAGGTCAGGAGCAGCCCTGCTGTCCAAGGTTGTGGAAAGTGGTAGAACCCAGCCCCAGGCCTCTACTGCCCCCTTGTGGAGCAACGTGGTGGTGCTGGCTTTGGCTGCCCTTTTTCCCTCTCAGTGACCGCCTCACAGGGACTTCTCAGCCCCTTCTGCCTCGTTGCTTCCAGCTCTTTACAGTCAGAGTACTTAGCTGTGTTTTGCCTTAAGGAGACAAACCGCCATGGACAGCCACCCAACACCAGTGTGGCTGGCTCCCTCTCCGATGGAGAAAGTGGTCTTGTTTACTGGGCTGGTGCAGTAGAGGCCAGGGCTCAGGGAGGAATCCAGGTTATCCCCACTCCCCTCCCCAGGGCAGCTGGGCTCTGCCAGGACCTGCTGGCTCAGGTGCTGATTTAGAAAACATCAGGGCTCACTGCTGCTTGCCTTGTCCAGCACATGCTCACTTTCCCTTCTCAAAGCAACAGGTCCTCCTCTGCCAGCTTTGCCATTGGCCCTGGGTCCTGGAGAGGACTGGCCCTTTCTGTTTGCCCCCAGGTGGACACAGCCAGTGAGGTGGAGGAGCTGGAGGCGGACAGTGTGTCCCTGCTCCCTGCAGCACCGGAGGGCAGCTGGGGGGGAGCCAGGATCCAGGTCTTCCTAGCACGCTATAGGTGGGCCCCTCACCCCTGTTCCCCATCTGCCCAGCATTTGGGATATATGGGAGGAAGGGGCAGAGTGAAGATAGCAGCCTCTGGAGGTGGTGGGGGGTGCAGGGATCCCAGTGGACATGTCCTCTTAGCCTAGTTGGGCTGAGGTGGGCGCAGTGAGCACTCCATTTGGCTGAAGGTGGACAGCCAAGTCTCCATAAAGGCCGAGCGTGTGGAGGGGAGGAGCTAGGGCATGGCGGTAAGGCTGTTGGTCGCTATCCTCCTCCTCCTCCCTGCCTCCCCCAACAGCTATAACCCCTTCGAGGGCCCCAATGAGAATCCGGAGGCAGAGCTTCCGCTTACTGCTGGCGAGTACATCTACATCTATGGCAACATGGACGAGGATGGCTTTTTTGAAGGTAGGGAGGTAGAAGGGATCATTCTGTCCATTCGCCTGCTTTTAAGCTCCTCTTCCCAAAGACTTCCACCATCCATATCCTCTCAGCCCACCATAACTTTTCAGACTCAGCTAAAAGGCATACAGAGACCTGGAGCCTGTGGGGAAAGGGAAAGGAAGGGATCTGGGACAAGGGGGCAGCTGATCTGACTGCAGGTCTGCCCCAAGCAGGGCAGGACAGGGCCTACCACAATGATGCGCAGTGTTGTAGGGAGTTTCGGCTAAATTTGCTTTTGTGCTGGCAGACAGGCCATGGGCAGTGTTTAACACCAGTGACACTCGAGGTCAGGCATGTAGCATAGTTCTGATGCTGGACTCCAGTCGGGTGTGGGGAGGAGGAACCAGGGTCCAGAGCGCAGGAAAGGGTGTTAGCAAGTGGGTAGCAATTGTCAGGGCCCAGGCGTGGGCTTCAGGGCAGTTCTCCAGTGCCTGTGGGGAGATCAGGCAACTGAGGCAGATGCCCCATTACAGAGACTGGGCAACAGGGCAGGCCTACAGAAGAAATGGCCTTGGGGGGCTTCCCCGGGTGGCCCTGGCTGGGCACCAGGCTGCATCCTTCAGTAGCAGGGAGGATGACACTAGGTAGGGACTGAGATGAGGTGTGGACAGGGCAGGGGGAGGGCCGTAACCATGTGTGGGGATGTAGGAAAGAGGTTAGCTCTGGGCCTGTAACACCCAAAGCTTTGGGTCTGTAAGGCCAGGCCTTCAGAGCCTGCTCCGTGTCTCTTCCCCAGGCCCTATGCCTATTATTCGAGCAGCTGCTGGGAATGATGATCAACAGCTCAATTCCCCATAGGGGTGGATAACAGAGAGCAGGATTAAATAGCTTTCAGAAACACAGCTTTTTTTTATGGAGAAAACGAAACAAAACAAAAACCAATACCTTTTTTTGGAAGGGGGCAGCAAAAACATAAATATTAACTAACCACAAATTACTGGATTTGAACTGTACAATCTGGGATAGATTTAAAGGCATGTAGGCACCTGGGTGTAGGATGTTGTATTCCTTGTCAAATGAGCTGAATGATTCCTTCGTCTACATCTGGTCCCACCTGGACCACTCTCGGTGGCACGCGCTTCGGGAGTATGTGCCTGACTCGGGCCCAGGCTCCGGCGCCAGCCTTTCAGGGCTGTGGATCTGTTCAGTGTGAAGGCTCTTGCTTTAATGTCACACTCCTTAGCGCTGGTGCTTATATGCATCTCCTAGGGCTGCCGTAACAAATTACCGCCAACTGGGTGGCTTAAAACAACAGAACTGTATTCTCTCACAGTTCTGGAGGCCAGAAGTCTAGAATCAAGGTGTCGGCCGGGCCACGCTCTCTGGAGGCTCTAGGGGAGATTCCACTCCTTGTCCCTTCAAGCTTCTGGTGGTTCCAGGTGTTCCTTGGTTTGTGGCCACATCACTCCAGTTTCTGCAGTCACGTTGCCTCCTTCTTTTCTCTCAGTGTCCCTCCCTGTGTGTCTCTTATAAGGACACTTGTCATTGGATTTGGGACCCACCCGGATAATCTAGGAGGATCTAAAGCTCCTTAACTTAATTACATCTGCAAAGACCCTTTTTCCAAATAAGGTCACATTCACAGGATCCAGGGATTAGGACGTGGACATATTTTTGGGAGGCCACCATTCAGCCCATCACAGTGCTTATATTATTCAATTTAGTGACAGTCCCTATGTGTCTTCTTCAAGTTTTCATGCTTTTTTTCCCTCCTAGCATAAGCAGAGAGAGAGAGAGAGAGGGTGTGGGGGAAACTCACAGGCCCTCCTGCAGCTCAGACCTGCCTCCACACACCCTCTGCCCTCTGCCCTGGCCCATGCTTTCCCTTCCTTTTAAGAAGGCTCAGCAGCCACCAGCTCATCTGTTCCTGGGAATCTTTTTCCTTCTCCCAAATTAGCTGTGACATGACAGGCCGTGTGCCCAGTTTCTTCCTTCCTTGACATCCCTCAAACAAACAACAAATGTTTGATGGTACTCTATTGACAAGTGTTCAGGGGAACTGGCACATGGTAACAGAGCTTACTTTTGGTCATTGCCTGGACTGACCGCCAGTCAGGCTTCTAGACCCAGGTCTGCTGTGGGTCCTAATCCCTTCTAGAACCCACAGGGGACTCTTTTCGTTTGCACTTAAGTCTTTTGTATCTAAAGATTCCTTCCCTTCCCCTGACCAGGTGTTGCTTTCCTCTCCCTTCGAGGATGTCTGTTTTCCAGAACTGGAAGGTGAGGGGTGCCTTGCCCCCGCTCTCAGGGTTGCATAATATGAAAGTTTTCACATGTACAGAAAAAGAATAATCCAACGAACACCTATATACTTACCACCTAGATTCGACCGTTGTCTCGTTTTGCCTTATTTGCTTTTCCCTATGTAGGTTAAAAAAGAAAAACGATTTAAAAGCAAGTTGTAGGGCCGGCCCGGTGGCACAAGCGGTTAAGTGCGTGCGCGCTCCGCCGCTGCGGCGGCCCAGGGTTCGCAGGTTTGGATCCCGGGCGTGCACCGATGCACTGCTTGTCAAGCCATGCTGTGGTGGCGTCCCATATAAAGTAGAGGAAGATGGGCACGGATGTTAGCCCAGGGCCAGTCTCCCTCAGCAAAAAAGAGGAGGATTGGCATCGGATGTTAGCTCAGGGCTGATCGTCCTCGCACACACACAAAATAATTAAATAAATAAATAAATAAAAGCAAGTTGTAGACATCATGAGATTTTGCTTAGACATAAGTCAACATGCATCTCCTTGGAACATGGGCGTTCTCCTACATCCTTGCAGTATCTGCATCACCTGGGAGCTTGTTAGAAATGCAGAATCTCAGCCCCACCCAGCTGAATTAGGATTTGCATTCTAAAGAATCTCCAGATGATTCATATGCACATTAAAATTTAAGAAGCACTGTCCTGTGTAACCACAATACTGTTATCACACCTACGAAAATTAACAATAACTCTGCAATCCAGATCTTGACTGCTCTTGTGTTTTAAAAGTGCTGACGGGTAAATGTTGATTTGAATCATATGCTTAAGATCACTCACTAACCATTGCTAAAATGCATTTCTTGGACTGGTTTTTCTCTACCTCCTCTCTGTCTTGCCCTTCCCTGCCCTCCCTCTGCCAGGGGAGCTTATGGATGGCCGAAGGGGCCTGGTCCCTTCCAATTTTGTAGAGCGTGTGTCTGACGACGACCTCCTGACCTCCCTCCCTCCGGAGCTGGCCGATTTATCCCACAGCTCAGGCCCTGAACTCAGTTTCCTGAGCGGAGGTGGGGGTGGCAGCAGTAGCGGGGGCCAGAGCAGCGGGGGACGCAGCCAGCCCAGACCGGAGGAGGAGGCTGCAGGGGACGAGCTGAGTCTGAGCCCCCTGCCCGAGGGCTTGGGTGAGCCTTCTGCTGTGCCTTACCCCCGCCGTCTGGCAGTCCTCAAGCAGCTGGCCCACAGCGTGGTGCTGGCCTGGGAGCCGCCTCCTGAGCAAGTGGAGCTACACGGCTACCATATCCGCGTGAATGGGGAGCTGCGTCAGGCCCTGGGGCTGGGAACGCCCCCCAAGGCTGTGCTTGAGAACCTGGACCTGCGGGCAGGGCCCCTCCATGTTTCTGTGCAGGCCCTGACCAGCCGGGGCAGCTCCGACCCTCTGCGCTGTTGCTTGGCGGTGGGTGCCCGGGCTGGGGTGGTACCTAGCCAGCTGCGGGTCCATCGACTGACAGCCACGTCTGCTGAGATTACCTGGGTGCCCGGCAATAGCAACTTGGCCCATGCCATCTACCTCAATGGGGAAGAGTGTTCTCCTGCCTGCCCCAGCACCTACTGGGCCACCTTCTGCCACCTGCGGCCTGGTACACTCTATCAGGCCCGAGTGGAGGCTCAGCTCCCACCTCGAGGGTCCTGGGAACCAGGCTGGGAGAGGCCAGAGCAGCGGGCTGCCACGCTGCAGTTCACCACACTCCCCGCAGGTATGCCGGCTTGGGCATTGACTGTAACACCCAGCAGGCCAGACCATTTGTGATGGGGGAAGGGGAGGCTGTAGCTATTTGCGTTTTCAGGGAAATGGCGAAGTGGGCTGGTGTCTCTGGTGCCGAGTGTCCTACATTATGGGGTCTTGTGCCTCCCTTCCCCCAGGCCCACCTGATGCCCCCCTCGATGTGCAGATTGAGCCGGGGCCCTCCCCTGGAATCTTGATCATCAGCTGGCTCCCAGTAACAATTGATGCTGCCGGCACCTCCAACGGTGTCCGGGTCACAGGCTATGCCATTTATGCCGATGGGCAGAAGGTATGGCCTGGGCATTCTCCCTGTATGCTGGAAATAGGATGTGGGTCTCTCCTTGCCGTTCTCAGAGGCCTATTCTCCCCAGCTTGACACACAGATGCCTGGCCCTTGGCATTTGGGCACTATGTAGCAGATTAGTTAAGAGCATGGAGTTTGGAAGCAGATGACTGGGATTCAAAAACCGCGTGTGGCCAGGACGAGTAAATGAGATAAGGCATGCCGGGGGCTTAGCACAGGGCCTGGCCACCATTGTTGTCATTGTGTTCTCACGCTTGGCCATCTCAGCCTCCCTTTCCTGTGCTCCCTCTGCCCTGCAGATCATGGAGGTGGCCTCGCCCACAGCAGGCAGTGTGCTGGTGGAGTTGTCCCAGCTGCAGCTGCTGCAGGTGTGCAGTGAGGTGGCCGTACGTACCATGTCACCCCATGGCGAGTCGGCCGACTCCATTCCAGCTCCTGTCACCCCAGCCCTGGCTGCAGCCTGCCTGCCAGCTAGGGTCTCCTGCCCCTCACCACGACCAGGCTCGGAGGCCAGACCACCTGTTGCTCCAGCCTCTCCAGGGCCGGGAGACCCCAGCTCTCCCCTCTGGCACCCAGACCCCCATGGAACTCGAGAGCCCCCTGGGGGCCCCCCAGCAAGCCCTCCCAGAGAGACACCAAAAGGATCCCAAGAGGAGCCCCCAGCACCTTGCTCTCAGGTACCTGGCTGGGGAGAGGGGAAGCAGGTGGAGGCTGGGAGAAGGGCCTGGGGCTTGGGCCCTTCCTCAGTGCCCTCCATTCCAGGAGGAAGCTGGGACAGCTGTGCTGGGTGCCTCAGAGGACAGGAGGACCAGCGAGCCAACCGTGGGGGAGACAGTTCCTAGCCCTGCAGCTTCCTCACTGCCTAAGGAGGAGGCTGAGTGGACCGCGGGAGAGGCCTGCCCGGCACCCTGCTCCACTCAGGAAGCACTGGCCCAGAGGGTGCCCTGTGCTGAGGCCTGCTGCGGAGGAGACACAGGGTCTGAGCTGAGGCCCAGGGCTGAGGTATGGGGTTGAGGAAACACTGTACCACCTCAAAGAATCGGGGCCTGCCTCCCTGCCCTCTGCCAGCCAAAATCTGGTTGCCTTCTCCGCTTGTTCTCTGCTCTAGTCTGGCTCCTGTCTGTGCTGTGTGTCTCTCTGTTTCTTTGTCACTTTATCTTCCCAGATTTCTTTTTCCCTTTTGACTACCATCTTTCTTCTCCCCCACCCTCCCTGTGTGTGCCTATTTGGGGCATGACCCTCTGCCAAGGGACCCCTTTCGTTCTGGCTGGGGCTGACCCTGCCAGAGCCTCCCATCCCCCTCACTGCCTCTTGCAGAGGGAGGACACGGCGGAGCTCGGGGTCCGTCTGGTGAACTCCCTTGTGGACCATGGCCGCAACTCAGATCTGTCAGATATCCAAGAGGAGGAGGAAGAAGAGGAGGAGGAAGAGGAGCTGGGTTCCAGGACTTGCTCTTTCCAGAAGCAGGTTGCTGGCAGCAGCATTAGGGAGAATGGGGCCAAGGTAATGGGGTAAGGAGGGGCTGGTGGGCCCTAGACCTCGGGTTCCAGGGGCCTCCACCCCCTGTGTCAGCAGCTGCTTCAGCCGCCACTGAGTGCCAGCAACGTTCTAGGTGTGTGGCCTGGGCCCTGTCCTAAGCAGCAGATAGGAAGTGGCTCAGGATTGGTCTCTGCGTTCCTGGGAAGAGAGGGGAGAACGAGGAGCTCTTTTTTGCACCTTTTCCCGCCCCAGCCCACCAGACGCAGAGATCTGGCCATCTGAGATCTTTGTGTTGGGAGCTTCTGGGGATGGGGTGCGGAGGCCTCTCTACTATTACAGGCACAGCCTGCTCCCTGACGCTCCTGTCCCTCAGGTGCTGTTCCTTGGGTGTGTCCCTAATTCTTCCTCTGGCTCTGCCCTGGACATGCTGTGTGCCTTTGGGCCAGCCCACCTCTCTGGTCTTTCCTCTTGGAGGAAACTGAGGGAGGACTATGGGTTGCCCGCAACCTCTGCCCTCATCTGAGGGCAAAGGTCACAGCTCTCTTCTCTCTCCATGGACCTCTCTTTCTCGCTGCCCTCCTCCCTCCGCCCCCCCAGCCCCAGCCCGGCCCCTTCTGGGAGACTGACAGCGATGAAGAGGTCTTGGAGCGGATCCTGGAGCTGCCTCTCCAGCAGTTCTGCAGCAAGAAGCTCTTTAGCATCCCTGAGGAGGAGGAGGAGGAGGAGCAGGAGGAGGAGGAGGAGGAGGACGAGGCGGCGGCGGCGGTGGCAGAGGCCGAGGAGAGGCCAGGGGCTGGCTGTTCTTCCGGAGACTCTGGCCCACCTGAGCCTGCAGTGCTGGGGCTGGGCTGTGACAGCGGTCTGCCCCGAGGACCTGGCCCATGTCCCTTGTCTCCTGAGCCCTCCAGGGCTGGGGACCGCCTGGAGGACATGCCCGGACTAGTTGGTGGAAGCAGCTGGAGGAGAGGAAGTGGCTTCCCCGAGAAGCCCCCAAACCGCAAGCGGTCCCCAGATCCCCGTGAACACTGCAGCCGACTTCTCAGCAACTGTGGGCCCCAGGCCTCAGGACGACCAGGCCCCACACGGGAGAGGGGCGGCCCCCCTGTGGGCGAGGGTACCAGGGGTGGACCAGAGGCTGGTGGGAGAGGGCGGCCGGCCCCTTCCCGGAGATGCCCCCGGGGCCGGGTTCCAGAATCTGGCCTGGCCAGCTGCCTTTCTCCCAGATGCTTGGAAATCAGCATCGAATATGATTCTGAGGATGAACAGGAGGCAGGCGGCGGGGGCATCAGCATCACCAGCTCTTGCCACCTTGGAGATGGGGAGGCCTGGGGCACAGCACCCATAGGAAGGCCCAGGGGCCCTCCGAAGGCCAATTCAGGCCCCAACCCCTCCCCACGCCTCCCGGCCTGGGAGAAAGGGGAGCCAGAGCGGAGAGGCCGCAGTGCGACTGGCAGAGCCAAGGAGCCACCCTCCTGGGTCCGTGCCCACTTCCCACCCTGGGCAGCCACCCGCCTGCTGCCACCTGGTGGCCCTGCTTTCTGCCCACCAGCCACTCCCATTCCATGCTGCCGCCTCCATCAGCAGAGGTGGAGCTGGGCCTCCAGGCTCCCTCACCTGCCTCCTCCCACCCACATTCCACTGCTTTGCTGCTTCTGCTGATCGGAGCCGGGACGCACAGTATTCTGTTATTATTAGTTGCCTATTGCTGCCAGCCAGCCGCCTGTCTTCAGGCGGGGTGGCCCTTTCCTCTGCTGAGTTAGTTACATCTTCAAGACACTGACTGTGATGTCCAGCGTCCCCCAACCCTGACGCTGAGAAAGGCCCTCCTCTCACACACTCGTTGCTCCTCAGCCAGCTCTGAGATCTAACCTCAGTGCCCTCTACTACATTCGTCTTCTGGGGTGGCTGGAGCTGGGGCCTCCCCTCCTGTCCTGCTTCCCCCCATGGGGGTGTCTGATGTCTCCAGTGAGGTTGGGCCAAGGCTCCAGGAGAAGAACGTGTCCCTGCTCTGCTGCGCTGCTTATGCTGATGGGGCACAGCTGGGGGAGTGCACACGGGGTCCTGTCCTTGCTGAGGTGCCCGCTGGAGGAGTGATGTGTCACGTCTGCCGTCTGTTCCCTTCTCTTTGCAGGCAGCAGAGACTGGGGAGCCCAGGGGACAGGACAGCTCTGGGCGGAGGGGCCCCCAACAGAAAGGGGACCGGGCCCATAGGCCAGGCTCCACTGAGCTGGGTGAGCACCTGATGGGGGCCGGGCTAGGCCGAGGGGGCCTTTCCTAACCCCTTATTGTCATTATTGGGCTTATCGAGCTTATTGTCATTGCTCTCTTCCCACTCCTCTCCACAGCCCCTCCGAGGAGCCCCCTAGAAGTGCTGGCTTACCAGGATCTACCTGTCAGGGTCTTTGTGGCTCTGTTTGACTATGATCCTGTGTCAATGTCACCCAACCCTGATGCTGGGGAAGAGGAGCTCCCATTCCGGGAGGGCCAGATCCTGAAGGTGACTGACTGATCATTCGCTCCTCCCTCCTCCCTCCTTTTCCTGCACATGAGTAAGTATAGCCATGCATGGGTGAGAACAACGCTTCTAGAGCCGGTTGAGGTGGGGTTGGATCCTGACTCTGCCACTTCTAGCTGTGTAACCTTGAGTAGGTTAACTAATCCCTCTGGGTTCAGTTTCCTCATTGGTAAAATGGGGATAGTGTTAGTGTCTACCTCACAGGCTTTTTGCCATTGCTGTGAGGTTTGGGAGATCCAGTCTGGGGTGGGCTGGGTCGATGGACGTGCACACAGTGAGTGACGATAATATGGAAAGGGCTATTTTCTCTCATCCTCTGATCCTTATTCTTTGCTGTTTCTCCGTTTCCTGCTCCACGGCCTGCGAAAGAGAGAGTACTCTGCAGTTCCAAGTGTGGTGTGCGGGGCTGAGGGCCTGGGCCACAGCGGGCAAGCTGAACTGGCCTCCTGAGACAACTGGTCTTTGCCTCCAGGTGTTTGGGGACAAGGATGCTGATGGCTTCTACCGGGGTGAAGCTGGGGGCCGGACGGGCTACATCCCTTGCAACATGGTGGCTGAGGTAGCTGTGGACAGTCCCGTGGGGAGACAGCAGCTGTTCCAGCGGGGTTATTTGTCCCCAGATGTTCTCATTGAGGGCTCAGGTATGACCTGCTGCTGTCCCTCACCCACCTCCCGGCACCCCAGTTCCAACTCACAACCCCGTCCTGAGCAATTTGTGTGTCTGGAGTGGCTGGGGCGCCTCGTTTATCCAGAGTCTAGCAGAGGTGCTGGGGCCTTGCAGAAACTGAGGCCAATGTGGCCAGAGCAATGGGCTCACCACAGGGAGTGGGGTCTGCTGCAGGGGAATGGGTCATGTGTTTTGGATCCTGGAGGTCTGGGTTGGGAGAGGAATGCCCTTTAGAAACGAGCGCAGGAACCCTGGCACAGCCCCGAGAGGAGACTGCAGAGTCACTGTCCTGCCCCTCTCCCCTGCCTCAGTTTCTCTCTCACATCTACTTGCCTTCCTGTATCAGGGAATGGTCCCTTTGTGTACTCCACAGCCCGCACAGCTGGGCCTCCCCCCAAGCCCCGCCGCTCCAAGAAAGGTGGGTGAGACTCCCTTCTCCCTCAGGGGCCTGTGAGGATGAGTGTGTGAGGAGGGTGGGGCACTGCTTGGCTCTCTGGGGAGACAGCTCTGGGGTTTTGAGCAGGTGAAGAGAATCAGGGCAGACCTTCACCCACGTCCATCCACTGCAGTGGGGGGCTTTATTCTAATGGGGATGGGGGGTGGTTTGCGGGACCTCTGTTCCCAAAAGCATCTGACTATAAATTCTGTGCAACCTGGAGCAAGTCACTTACCCTTTCTGGGCCTCAATTCACTATCAAAATCAAAGGGCTAGGCTAGTGTGCTCTCTGAGTATCTTTCTCCATTGTGTGAGGCTGCACATCCTGCCTGCCCTGCACCAGCCCCAGCCTGGGATGGGGAGGGGAGTGAGGGGCAGGGCTTACACGCCCGTTCTCTCCGCAGCTGAGTCGGAAGGCCCTGGTCAGCCCGCTGCAGGTGAGGGGCCAGCCCTGTGCAGGGGAGACTGGGGAAAGATGTGGGGAGGGACGGCCCCTCTGGCCTCTCTCCAGGGGCCACAACTAGTGGTGGTGGTGAATAGGGGGTCAGGAGGCCTCCAATGTGGAGGAAAGTATGGGGTGGGGGGTCTAGAGAGGGTCCTGAGTCTTCTCCCCATCCCCTGCAGGCCTCCCCCAGCCGGTCTCCTCTGCCAGCCTGAAAGCTCCCCATTCCATGGTGGCTGCATTTGACTACAATCCCCAGGAGAGCTCCCCGAACATGGACGTGGAGGTGAGGACCCTCAGAGAGAGCCCAGCCAAGGGGGGTGATGGCAGGGCCTCCCCGGGCCTGACATCTATCTGCCTCTTGGTCTCTCCACAGGCAGAGCTGCCCTTCCGGGCAGGAGATGTCATTACTGTGTTTGGGGGCATGGACGATGATGGTTTCTACTACGTGAGAACATTGGGGTGGGGGTGTGCCATACCCACCTCATCAGCCCTTTCAGAGAGGGCTTTCCCAGAACCAGGGAAGGGGATGAGCAAGGGTTCCTGATGGAAGCTTGGAGGAATGGACCACGTCACCTTCCATGACAGTGATATTCACCCCAGGCTGTTTCCCCAGAGGCTTCAGGATCAAGGAGGTGGGGCTGAGGCCTCTTTTCCTGGTCTCAGTCTCACCAGCATCTCTTCCCCAGGGGGAACTGAATGGACAGAGGGGACTGGTTCCATCCAACTTCCTGGAGGGCCCTGGGCCTGAGGCGGGCAGCTCAGACAGGGATCCCGGGACACCCCAGACCGAGAGTCAGGTCAGTGAGGAGCTGGGCTCCCAGCTCAGCAGTTAGGTTTCTACCGTGCTGGTGTGGTGGTGGGGCCAGGACAGTGTCCTGGCGCAGCTGGGCAATGATCCAGGTGAGCTCTGTGCCCAGGGTGGAGCTACTGAGTTACCCCCAGAGGGAGCCCAGCCAGGGCCAGCTCCCTCCTAGTATGTGCCCCTCTCTGCGGAGGGGTGGTGGCTGCGACCTGATCCCCGGCCCATCTGATCCAGCTGCCCATACCCCGGGGCCAGTGCAGGTGAGGGGGCCTTGTGGAAAAGGACCCCATGACCCCCACACCTCTAGCCAGTCATAGTCCTGGTTTCAGGGACCCTCCCACCCTGCTGGATCTCCCTGTCTCCCAGGTGCCTTTTAAAGCCAGTTGCCCAGCAACGCCCAGCTTCCTGGGTTCTCATTCTTAGAGCTTGCCTCTCCTTGGGGCGGGTGGAGTACAGTTAAGCTCCAGCCTCACAGGACAGGGAGAGGGTGAGGAGGCCAGGCCCCAACCAGAAAACCCTGGCTTTCCATCTGCAGTAGTTCCAAGGGCAAAGGCTATGCAAAGCAGGACCAACCCCTGTGACTCGGGCAACCTGGTGACTGGGCGGAGAGCATGTGGGTCTGTCCATAACCCATCTCCTCTCTTTGTTCCCTGTTCTTCAGAGAATGAGGAGGAGAAGAGTCCAGTGCTAGATGGAGATAGATATATGTAGAGAGAGCAACATGTAAGTGGGGCGCCGGCCCCCTGTGTCCATGTGTCCATGTCACTTCCCACATCACCATAATCAGATGGTGTTCCTTTGTCTTGAATACTGGAGCTGACCTGGCTTTTCCACTTTCTTCCAGGGAATAAGGGAGGGGGATCTTGCCATGAGCCAGGTTTGGATATAGGATGATCCCTTCCCCTTGCCTTTACCCTGGGCAGTGCCAGCTGTCATAGGAATACATGTCATCTTAGTATATAATGTCCCACATTAGCTGACTCCTCATATTCTATAGCGCATGCGGCTTATAGAATGTTACATGACATCCATATTATGACTCATCAGTGTATTATGATACTATGTGACTATGGTATTGTAATATTGTGATTATTATTGGTGACAGAAGGATGACACTGTAATGCCACCAGTAATAATGGTCTTCCTGCCCTTGTCCTCTGCATCATGACCTGTTAGGGGATCAGATGCATGATTTTACTTCCAACTTTCAGTTTTCCCTCCTGGGGGGAAGAAAAGGGGAACTTAAACGGTTGGAGTCTGTAGATAACCCCAAACCATTTGCCTCCAGGGCTCCATTCATTTCCCCAGCAACCCCTGTCTCCTGGGATGCAGTGGAAGGAGCCCTGGGAGGGAGTGGGTAGAGCCTGGGGCTCCCGGGCTGCCGTCAGCCCTGGCTGGTTGGCAGTAGGTGCTTTGACCTCTAGGTGCTTGCCAGACCTGTTTGTGGGCAGGCCCTGCCACGTCATCAGGGCCTTGGGTGAAGGTGGGCCCCAGACTGGGTACCCAGCTCTCCTGCTTCTGGTCTGGGCTCCATGGCTGGCTCTGGCCAGGAGACTGCCAGGCTCTGGTGGCATGTGGGGGTTTGAGAAAGGGAGTCAGGGGCAGGGTGTGGGGAACATGCCGGCTGGCAAGACCTGACTGGGCTGTGCCAGGTGCAGGAGGTCATGGTGGGGATGTGGGGGTGTGGGAATACAATGGGGGTGTGGGAATGTGGTGGGGGTGTGGGAATATGGTGGGGGAGGCTTCCTGGTGGCTCTCTTGTTCGCCCAACTCCTGTCCTTGGGCCACTGACAGCACTGTCTGAGTGGCCTGTGGCAGAGGGAGCCACTCACTGTTGCAAATGGAGCTAGGAGGAGATTCAGCAAAGGAGAAATGCTAAAGGAGCGGACAGGGCAGCCTCCAGAGTTTGTGATGGGGGCTGAGTGATACCCAACTGTAAATCCCCTCTCAGGGGCCATTCCAGCTAGAGTCCTGATCTCCTCCCCATGGGGTGGGCCCTGGCTCCACTCTGAGATCCCTAGGGCACCGCATCTGCTGGGCTGGATGGGCATGCTCCTTCCTTCTGTGAGATGGCACAGGAACTGCCCTCCCTGGAGGGGACAGCTGCCTCTAAGCGATCCTGTCCTTGCTCTGCCTTTGTTGGGAGGAGATCTCACGGGGGCAGTTGGGGCACCCATCCCAAGGGTCAGATCCAAGGACTCTTGAGCTCTCAGCCCAGCACCCTGTAGAGAGACTCAGAGAAGAGGAGGGGCTTGCCCAGGTCCCAAGTGAACAGAAGCAGAACTGAGACTCTGGGTCTGTCCCTTTGTTCTCCCAGCTCAGTGCACCCTCAGCATCAGTACACCCACTCTCCTCTCTGCTCCAGATGTGCGGGGCAGTGGCAGGGGGTGGCGCTCTGGTTCTCGACTGTGGTTCTGTGACAAGGGGGCTGCAGGCACCTGAGGTTGTAGGGTACAGGAGTCAGGATGGGGCAGGCAGTTGGGCCCTGACCTTGCCCTTTTCTCTCACATTCCAGGACTGGGCCAGCTCAACACAAGGACCCCCGGTTCCCCCAGGCTGGCCCTGTGCCCCTGGCAGCTTGCCCAGGATTGAACTGGGGGGGCCACAGGGCACAAGAGAGAAGGTGCGGAGTCTCCTCTCCAAGGGGAAGCAGCTCCTCAGGAAACTGGGCTCTGGGAAGAAGGAGTGACGCTGTGGCCCATCCTGCAGGCAGACGTGGCCCCCTGAGGCCCCCGGATCACTGTCCCGGCTGGGCAGGGAAGGCCCTGGACTCCCATTCTTCCAACTTAACACTGTGGCACTTGGATGCGAATCAGAAACTTGGTGAAGGTCAGAGCTAGATGAGTCCTTAAGGATGAGTCCTCTGGAAGGGCACCTTCCTCTTGCAGGAGGGGAAACTGAGCCCCAGAGGGAGGAAGTAACGCAGCCAAAGTCGCTGAGCACCTCGTCACAGAGCCAGGCCTGGACCCGGGACTCTTGACTTCTAGTCCACCCATGTAGGCCTGGGTTCCCACCATGCTATGCTAGTCCCTTCTGTGGCCCTCTCCCAGGATGGGGGGCCTGGGGGGAGAAAGGGGCCTGTCCCCTCTGATGGCACTGACTATCCTGATCACGTCTTCCCTCCCCTGAAGAAAAGTTTGCACTGGATTCTCTCGAGCTCCGCCTCCCACGGGGCAGGCAGGGTGGAGCCGTGTATATATGTACATACTCAGTGCCTCCGTCCAGCTTCCTCCATCTCGCTTCCACTGCACAGGCCCGGGAAGGAGAAAGGCCATGCCAAAGCGGGCCTCACCCCGCCCCATAGTGCTCCACCCCTCCCTGCCAGCCCGGCCTCCTGGCCCCTGTGTGTCCCCACCCCAAAGGCCCAGGGGGCCAGTGGGCAGAAAGCAGGAGTGGGGTTTGCCTTATTTTGCTCATTGGATTCAATTTCTCCTTTGCATCGTTTTCCTCTGGCGCCTGTCCGAGTCCGGGGCTGGAGAAAAGGACAGATTTATGCAGCTATTGTCATACCTTCCTTGTTCAGAGTAGAGGGGAGGGCTCACCACTCTACCCTACCCACTATCCCCTGCCCTCGGCTGGGTGAGTGTCTGCATGTTCCCTTCGCTGTGGCAGGAGATTGTTTGAATGAAGCCCCACCCCCACCTTGGTCTCAAGGGGTGTGGAATGGTGGGGGCATTTGTTTAAAAAGACATTTTATTATAATAAAGTCTATTTTCACAAAACCCATGCTGGGCTCTACCTGGGGCAAAAGACTCCTCAAGGGGTAGGTCATGCTGGGCTTTGGACTGGACTTTAGAACCCAGAAGTTACATCCAAGGGCGACTGGGGCAAAACTAATGACACCAAGAAGACCAAGCGGCTCTTGAATTCTTTTCCTAAGAAGGAGGTTTGGCAGCTTCTTGAGTCTGAGGTTGCAAGGCCAGGTGCTTGGAGTTGGGGCAGGGTCCTAGAGGGAGAAAGAGACCTGGGCAAGGGGATGGGGGGACATGAAGAGAGAAGGCACCAGTTCAAGGCAGTGGACTGAATGCATCCTGCAATCTTGATTCCCCTGCACCAAATTCATAGAAGTAATGGATGTAAGAAAAACCAACCAACCAAGCAAACAAACACCATCCGTAGTTCCACTGGAAAGCAAGAAGGGGGACTCTCGGTAGACTAGAAACGACAGATTCCAGAAAAGACAGAAAACAGATGAGAGATCATACTCAGAAACCTCAAAGCAGGGTACATGTGGGAGAGTTCTGCACATTGCTCCATGCCTAGAGGTGGCACGAACAAAGCAAAAGAGACCACAGGGGTTACTGGCAGCGTGGTAAGTTGAGGTTCCATGTAGGGAGCAACGGGGTCAATTGACTGTTGCATATTCTCCTTCTCCCTGCGGGCCAAGGGGCAAAGGTGAGGATATCTGCCTTTAGGGGAGAACGGTGGGAGTGACAGCTTGGATCAGAGACCAGGTGGTACTTTAGGTGACTGGCAACACCTTGCAGAAACAAGGAACATCACTGCGCAGGGGAGGAGCCAGTAAAGAGCAGCATAAGTGCCCCTTCCCTCTCCCTGAAACGCTCCGAGTCAGCAGCAGCCCCCACCCAGCTGTCTCGCAGGGACTCTCAAGGACTAAGGCAAGGACACAATTAAGACTCAACAAACAGATCAATTTGGGAAGAATGGACATTTGAACAACGTTGAGTCTTCTGACCTCTGAACAAAATATCTCTCTCCATTTATTTCCGTCTTTCATTTCTCTTAGCAAGGTTTTGTAGTTTTCAGTACAGATCTTCCAATCTTATCAGATTTATCCCTATTTCATATTTTTGATGCCATTATAAGTGCTATTGTTTTACACTTCAATTTCTGATTCTTTGTTGTTAGTATATAGAAACACAACTGATCTTTGTATTTTGACCTTGTATTCTGCAACCTTACCAAACTCACTAGCTCTGGTAGCTTTTTTGTAGAGTCCTTAGAATTTTCTATATATGTGATCATATTGTATGTAAACAAAGACAGTTTTACCTGTTCCTTTCAAATTTTGATGCCTTTAATTTCTTTTTCTTGCCTCACTGCACTGGAAAGAACCTCCAGGACAATGGTAAAGAGAAATAACCAGAGCAGACACACTTGCTTGGTTCCTGATCTTAGGGAGAAAGCCTTCAGTCTTTTACCATTAAGGATGGTGTTAGTGATGTGTTTTTTCATAGATACCCTTTATCAGGTTTGAGGAAGTTCTCTTCTATTCCTAGTTTGCAGAGAGGTTTATTTTTTTACTTTTGTAATCAGTAATGGATGTCGGATTTTGTCAAATGATCTTTCTGCATCTAATGAGAGATCATATGGTTTTTCTTTCTTAGTTATGGCAAATTTTGTTCGTTGATTTTTGAGTGTTAAACCAACCTTACTTTCCTGGGATAAATTCCACTTGGTCATGACCCTGGAGGAGGATGAAAGTGTATTCCCTAGCATGTGCTCCTCTTGTTGGGTTTGAGTAGTGTGTACAGGGCAGAGATAAGGGGGTGGTGGCGGTGGTGGGAGACTCAGACCCTAGAGTGGAGAGTCTCCGGGGTTACAATCTGGGTGTATTCATTCTCTATTTCCTCCCTACCCTCAGCAGGGGGACCTTACCCATTAGAGAATCTTCATGCACCTCTGTCAAGGCAACAACTTCCCCTTAGGTCATAATACTCCCGTCCTCGGGGCAGAGGAAAGGACCTGCTCTTTCCACTCCCTAACCTGGTCAGGATCCAGCACTACTGTGTAACATCCCCTCCTCCAAACTTCTGCTGGCCTTGAGGGGCCGTTTTCCTGCCTTGCAGCTGCTGCAGTGGAGGCACTGATCTGATGAGGGCAACACGGTGCAGAGAGGAGGGCACGACTAGCAAGCTCTCCCCAGCCCATCCTCTGCTGGAGACACCTGGCCCTGCCCTCGTCCCCTCTGAGTCTGTATTCCCCTCACCAGGTCCCAGTCTCCTTCTGACTCCACGGGGGTTTCCCACAGCTCTTGTTATTTTCTGCTCTCCAACAATTTCACTTCTGTGTTTCACTTCCGTGACATGTCCAGGCTCAGGTTTGGCTGATGGATCCTGCAGCCCATGTTAATTCTGCTTTGCCTGAAATAGGGGTTAACACCTGTATTTCAGGAACTGGAAGTGTACTTATAACAGAGAACTTAACAGAAATACTAGACACGTAAAGATAATGGAGCAATATCTTCCAAGTGCTGAAGAGAAAGAAGTTTGAACTTGAATTCTGTACTTATCAGTCACACGACCAAAGCCTCCCACAGGGGAAATGCTCACTCTCGAATGTACGTACGGCAGTGCTATCATCTCAATCTTTGATAGTGTTTGCCTTCATATTAAGAAACCAAGGTAAAAGTAATCCCAAACCACTGATTATGTGAAACAAATCAAAGTTTGCTACTTTGGAGGGTTGCAGTGGAGGGAGAGATTATTCTTTCGTGCTAAAATTATTATATTTTCCTTGCAAAACTTTCAAACAGAGGAGCATTGGTTATAAAGTAAAAGCCCCCTCAGCCCTTTCATTTCCATTATCCAAAGGTAGCCACTGTTAATAGACTTCTGTGCCCGCTCCAAGAATTTTCTATGCATACTATCTAAATATGCATGTGGCATGCACGCATGCATGTGCGTGTGCATGTGTGTGTCTGTGTGTTTTGCATAAAGTGCATCATGCTGTATACAATGTTTTCTAACTAGTTCTTCTTTTAACAATCTATTTTTATATATTGCTACATATAGATCTCCCTCATTAGTATTAAAGTCTTCATAAAACACCACTATGTGGATGTACTACAGTGGCAAAACTTTTTTAATCGACATTTGGCTTGTTTCTAGTCTTTTGGTTGTTGCAAATGAGGCTGAAATGCACCCTTGTGCAGATATCTTTATGCTTTCCTAAGAATGCATCTGAAGGAAAAATTCCCTCCTGGAAGGAGAATTGTTGAGTTAGAGCAGATGTACATTTTGGATTTTGACTGACATTGCCAAATTGCCATCCCATGGCATGGGGCCAATCTACATTTGTTTTTTCACATGCAGACTGGCACTGCTTTATCAATCTTTTTAAATTTTAACTAATCTGATTGGTAAAGATGCTATTGAATTATTTTACTTTGAGTTTAGTACTTCTTTTATTTTACTTCTTATTTTTAGTGTTTTTTTGTAGAACTTTGTCTCCTGAAAGCTTGCTACCCTCCCCACCCCCACCACTAACCACAAGTATAAAGAGAACTATCTGAATAACCATTAAACATTTGTATAGTCATGTCATTTAACTTGTCTTTACCTTTATAATACTACCCTAAACGAATCTGGAAACCATTATTTGGAACTAACAAAAGCTTAAATATTTACTCTTTTTAAAAATTTTATCTTCTTCATTAAATAGAGAGTGCAACCTTTCTAGAATGGTGGGTTAAAAATGTCCAAATTTATAAATTGAATTAAATACAATATCAATAAAAATCTCAATAGGATTTCTTATGGAATTAGACACTAAAAAATGCACAAGAAAGCGTAGCTATATTAGAATGTTGAAGATTCTTTTGAAAAAGAAGAATGAGGAAGAATTT